CATCGACCTGAGCGCACCCGAGACGGAGAAAGCCGCGCTTGCTATCCAGGGCAAATTCCGCCGCTTCCAGAAGCGGAAGAAGGAGTCGGGGCCCTGAGCAGCTGCGGGGTCCCGTGAGCCCCTGCCCAGGGCGGGCACCCCGCTCTTGCACGTGGGCACGGCCCCATCCTGACCTCCGCAATGCTGGGGCTGCCCTGTCCTCTGCGAGCAGGACTGGGGGGTGCTCAGTCCTTCCCTACCCCTTGCCCACCCCTGAGCCAGGTCCCTGGGTGAAGCTGGGGGGTTGTTGTGGGGGGACACAGCTGAGTCCTGTGTCCCCCAGTGTGGAGGTTGCCCTTGTGCGAGGGAATGGCATGGAAATGCCCTTTTCCCTGGGGCAGCCTGCATTTCCCCATCCATGGCGATGCTGGCTGCTGGGGACACGTGGGGTCGGGGGACACCGGTGTCCCCTGAGTGAGGGAAGCCCCTGTCCTGTCCCAGGGGGTTGGATGCTGCGGGGGGGACAGGTCTCGCTGTAGCCCACCATGGGGAAACCGGGTCTCCCCAGGTACTGGGATGCTCCCCATCCTCGCACTGCCCCCTCCCCGCACTCCTGTCATTGTCACCATCCCCTCCCCTAGGGAGGCTTTTAGCATGTGTAAAGAATAAACCATTGGGAAGAGGAGCTGGGCTGGTGCACAGTCTGTGAGAGGGGGTGTGGGGATGGTCCCCCACCTGGTGGGACCCCCAGGTCCCCATTCTCTGAGGGAGCGGGGTGGAGCCCCCTGTTAAAAGCAGCCCCGCAGGTCCCCAGGGCCAGGCTGGGTGTCCTCAGGACATGGGTGGCGGGTTCCCCCCTTGGGATGGGGCCCCTTAACCGGTGCTTTGGGAATGGCTTCATCCCCACCCTGGGATGGCGTATCACCCTCCGATTTGGGGTTTTCCCCATGAAATTCTGCTTAATTTATCAGCCACCAGGTCTCAGCCCCTGGAGCCGGGGCCTCGTTTCCCATTGTGCCATTCTTTGCAGCAGCGATGAAAGACGCCGCCACTTGCTCCTCTTCCTCGGGGGACGAAGGCCTTGTGGTGCCACGTCCCTCCAGGCATCAAAGTTTAGCTTGGGGCCGGCTTTGGTGGTGGTTCCCAGCCCCGGCTCCCACTGCAACACCACCAAGAGCAGCCACAGGAGGTACCTGAGCTGCTGCCGGTGATGAGGGAAAAAAAATGTTTCGGGGTGGTTAAAATAAAGGCATTTGGGGGATTTGCACCGGGGTTTCTTGGCGCTCAGATGCGAGGTGGCTGCAGGGCCAGTCCCTGCGATGCCCGATGCTGTGGGGTTACGGGGGGCCCTGGGACCTGGCGTGGAGCCACAGTGCGTCGTCAGAAATAGCTCCCTGGAAAGAAAAACAGTGTTGGTGGCCAAGGGAAAGGCAGGGCCCAGGGGATGCCCTGGGGGTGCGGGGGTCGGGCTTGGCCCCTGCTTGCTCTGCAGACTTATTAGGGAAAAGACAATTATAGCCCCAGCGGCAAGGCGGGATGGGGGGGCCCCTCCCTCGTAGGGCTGTGTCAGTGTGGGAGTGAGCGTTCCCGCTCTGCTCCCGCACGGAGTCGGATGATGCAGCTGCGGGATGGGGCTGGGGGCTGGCACCGAGCCCTGGGGCAGGAGCACTCCTGCTCCGCTCCAGCGCAGAGTCAGCTCATCACCCCAACTGCCTGCACCAACGCTGGGGCCGTGGTCCCTCCCTGAGCCCCGCTGCCAGGATGGTGACAGTCACCGCTGGGTGAGCAATGGCCGTGGAGGGAGACCCCCGCCTGCCCCGGGGGACCCCTACCCACCAGGGCAGGACCTGAGACTTGGCCTCTGCCTTAATTGGGGTGAGCTTTAATTAACGCAAATGCAATGGCTCGATGGGGATGAGGGGGGAGGTGGCCCTAGGGTGGGGCACAGCCATGATGGGTGGCCTTGGGGACAGCCCCCACCACCTGAGGGGGTCCCTGGGGTGCCATGAGGATGCCCTTGAGACATCACCTCACCCCTGGGGAAACTGAGGCACAGTGGCAGTGCCCTCCCCTTCTCTGTGGGAAGTGGCAGGCCTCCATGCAACGAGTTCACAAGTGCTCAG